TATTCCCCTGCTAAATAATGCTGTGTTGTGATCTTGTACATAGGTGTTTTGCATTGTCGCAGGATAGTTTAGTGTTTGTTATAAAGTTATACTTTTCTGAACCGCCAAGTCAAGTTTCCTAAACTACGTAAGCGGTATTTGTATGTTTACGAGTTGATTGATAATGGCAAACACTGTAAGATACTGCTTCTGTGTTGTTATTGGTGTTAGTAGATATCAGCACAAGTTTACTGCACCATGTAAGACATAAAACTGACCAGCGTACATGTTTTATGACCAGCGTACTGCTGTGTTGCCGTTAAATGAGGCCAACAGCTAAGTATATCGAGTGGATGACACCTTATGCGTGATGTTCAGCTATCATGATTAGAGTTAAATGTCTGTAGCAAGATGGCATTTACTTTTCGTGACTGAATGTTGATGTATATAATCAAGATAGCATCCTTAAGTCAGTATATCTCTAGTCGTGGTTGTTTTTGTCGGGTATTTTATTGAAGCTATAGGCCTAAACTTTCATGTAGATGAATAGTAGCAGCAGAGGTAAAAGGTCAGATGTCACAGAGGTTATGCTCTGTATCAATATTGTGCAAGCCATTTAACTAATATGTAATGTTGATTGCCATTATCTAGCTGCTACTTTGAGAGGAAAGAATTGTCTTTGTTATTTGTGTTATATAGTTTTGTTGTACCAGATGTGTTATAGGTTATGGCTTTATGCTCTATTTCAATATTTAGCAGGCTATTGTAACCAGTAATGTAATGTTTACTGGTATTATCATGATTATATAGCTGGAACTTTAAATTGTGTTGTCATTTATAATGTATAGTGTAGCTACACCAGAGGTCATGTAGCCTAAGGCACTATGGTCTGTTTCAACTTAATGTAGGACTGCCTAGCCATTATACACTATGACACTATTGTTATGATTGAATCAAGTTGATACTTTCAGATATGGTTTGTTGTGTCAGTATTGTTACTTCAGGGACATAATGGTAGCATCAGTGATACATAAATCAGTTTTATTGTATTTTGAGTATCATTGAGCACTATGTCAGAAGTTATTTGTCAGCAATCAGATACTAAGGCATTATCAAATTGTTTTTGGGTTTTCAGGTTTTCTAGTCAGGGGCAGGCTCAGTGTACTGCCGCCCTTACCTAACCCTGTGATTACCAAACCTTTCTTGTCTTTATTCTACGAAAAAACAGACATTCATTGGAAGTGATGTGTGTGTGTTCTAACTGTAAGGTGGACCTGGGTACGTAAAGAATAATTGCAAATAAATATGATTTATTTACATCGGAAGAGATATAGAACAACAAATAGAAGCTGCTGACTCAATGCTCTCAGCATTATTCGAGCTATATGACGGCGAGAAGAATCGTATCTGGACCAGACAAACCAGTCATCGATATTGTGAGCAACAGTCCAAGCCGTCAAGTAAAGAGGACACGCCATCAAACAAGATACCGAATGATCGTTTTGGTCGCCTTATACAACCAGCATAGGTTGCTGGGGACCAATTCCTACCCGAGTTGTGTAATCGTGAAGTATGTCATAAAGAGCACTCTTTTGTCTTATCCCGCATGCTGGGAAGACTCGGTGGTTTTCCCATTTGCAGTGGTATGAAAGTAATTACCAAGCGCTGCTTATCCGACAACAAGGCATAAATTATCAATGAAATGGAAAGTCAGCAATATGATGGCTTTTCTCTGCTTTTGTCGAGTCTGGACCAGCATAAGATGCTAATAATTCGGATGTATTTGTTTAAAAAGGGAAGGTTTTCCTGGCGTAATGTAAAATAGCGTTACCAGTCGTATTTTGGTATTTTGGGAAATATCAACATCATTCTCTTAATCGGTACAAGCCAAAAGCGAAAGGAAAACTTAGTTGTTTTGCATGATATTAAAGCGAGAGCCCACCTACCTGAGGGTGATGGGCAATGTTGAATGTATAAGACACAACCGTCGATTTAATGGAGGTTCTAAAGGGCTACCAAAAATTAGAAAAGAGATAATACTATTAAAGGCCCAAATGTCAGAACAAGGCCAAACCAAATTTAGCTATGTGCCGTCTTGCGTTCCAAACATAATTGCTACTAGACAATTTATTAATGCCCAATAAACAGAAACGCTGTGGGTCTAAATGGGAGCGAACGCTGCCAGCTATGTGGCAAATTGCGTTGCCAAATTTCTAGTTTCTATTTTAACGAATGAAAACAGAGGAAAGATTGGGTTCCAACTGGTAAGACGGTAACCCAGTCTGGGTTCCCGCTGGAAGGCAGGTAACCGGAAACCCTATTTAGTATATATATTAGTGTATATTCTGATATAGGAGGTAGCCCAGAAGAACCGTGCTACTCCACGACATGTTTTATTCACATTGATAAGATATGTACAATATTCTGGAGTGATAGATATGAACAAATTGTTGTGCCTGGTACCTGTAATGGACAATATAAGGTGATGTATAATTGAATTGAGATGGATGGAGGCAATCAGGGCGGGTTGGTGGGATAATGCGATAATGCGATGTGAGACTTCCGAGGAGACGAGCGTGCAATTGCGCAACAGTAGTAGGTTTGTTTGCATGTTTGTTTGTTGTTTTACGCAGCACTCAGCAATATTCCAGCTATATGACGGCGGTCTGTAAATAATGGAGTCTTGACCATGCAATCCATTGATTGACATGAAGTCACAATCGGTGATGACGTCACGAGCTATCAGTTATGACGTCATATGTATACTGCGAGCTTCTCAACACGGTTCTCTTTAGAAGACGCCGCTATTTCATTTCAGCTGTTTTCAATCGCATAAAATGAAGACAGTATTACGTTCACGTGTGTTCATTTTTATCATAATAACCTAATAGAATTATCGCTCGGTGGACCCAATTATGATAATTACTCGTTCCGTACAATTCATGTTATAAGCAAATGTTTCTGGGTCTTATTTACAACAAATTTCATTGGAACATCATCTTTAATACAAGACTGTAACGCAAACAGAAACACATATAACCAATATAATTTTATTATAGTTCATTTAAATTACATTTCTATTTGATTAATATCTCAAACGATGAGTATCCACAACTTAATATATTTGTTTATATCACCGCTTCGAAACACGCATTTTTTCTGGGAAAGAGGGATCGGATTTTCTTTTAAAAATACTATTATTTTTTTCTATTTTTTTCTTGAACAAGTTATTGTTTCAAAAAGCAGCCCGAGAAGGTCGTTATAGCTTTATCAGGATCGCAGAAATCATGACCATTAACCTGTCAAAACTATGCCCTTGCTTGTTGCTTTCCTTGCACATTAAGCTTACGTATCATGTCAAAGTTAACAAAAATTCTTGTCAAAGCCGAGTGCATCTCACTCACTCACCCTCTCTAGATTCTCTTTACAACATTTTGTTTACGCTGATATTCACAGAGATAGCCGACTCACAATAGAGATTATTTATGGCATTAATAATAACACACAGACAGCAGTTTCTATATGCTGAGCCATCAACCCTGGCTTCAGAAAAAATAGATGTGAACTTTGCCCTATATGTAGATCGAACATGTGGCATTTGAACCAATTGGTGTCATATTCATCAATCTCTTGGAGATGAATGCTGTTATATTATATTAAAAACGTTACCCGTGCCTTTCACCTGAAGAGAACCTTTAACTCTATCGTTTTCTTATATTATATTTCTTATATAGGTACAATGACCTTAAATTTTGCATATCGGGGGTTGAAAATCCCAGATTTTATAACTACAAATACAATGTACAAGCGAAAACAACATTTCCACAATGGTAAGAAATATGTCCATTGTACGATACCGACTATATCATAAACACGTGTTTATAGATCGCTCTCAAAGTAATGATAATATCAGGTGTTCGTGAAAAGACCCACTGTTGGCAAACGTTACAAACACATGCAAGGGCTAACCAATTGTTAGCCTCACAGTACACGGGGCCAGTGGGTCAAGTCCAAATAGGGAATTGTTTCGGATTTTATTTTTGTCACCGATGTGTGAAGTTTGATTAAACAGCTACTGAGCAAGAGTCGTTTGACGCTCGCCGTAGAAAGAGCATGCTCAACTGTCCAATCAACAGTAGTTAAATATATGACTCAAGACCGAAGCTGCTGGAATATTGCTCGGCATGAACGGAAAGTGAACTATAGGAATGTTGAAGTCGTCCATCTTTTCATTCAGTCCTGTGAAGAGTGTATATGTCATTATCATGCTGACTTCTTGCCTACATATAATATCCCCTGATTTCACATAGAGATTAAATGTTTAAAATGTGAAATGCTCCTTCATTGTAAGTGAATAAAATATAATGAAACTACATACTTCAAAATATCAGTATACATTTATATGACACAATTACGCTAAAGCTATGTTTCGAATCTATCATTCCTTCGGACACAATTATCAATTGTAATTTGTGAATTTAAGGAGTTTTCAGGGGAAAACTATCAATCAATACGTTCAACTCAACTTCAAAGTTAACTCGACAAGAAGAAAAATGAAACTTTCGTTGAATATCCTCTTAACTTCATTTTAGAAAATGTATATACCAAATAACATTAATGTTGCATATTGGTTTGATATATTACTCCTTATGTCACAGTACATCCTATATCAACAATAATATTTGTAGAGAACAATCATATTTCACCTCCTTTGTATTGTTTAATCTTTTCTCAAATATTTGCTCGCATTGGATATAAATGAATGCATCGATACACGTCCATCACGTAATGAAGCCGTCTTGAGAATTAAAATGAAGTATAATGCATATGGGTACATGCATAATTCGATATTGTTCAAAATGAACATGAAACTGAGATGTTTAACTGTATTTGTACACTATCTCACATCGTAAAATGACCATCATTGCGTGACAGTGACAGATATGGCATAACAGACAAATATGTTCACACCCTTACAGGCAAACAATGACCATTGGTCTTCAAATACTTAACATCTCATAATGTATGTAGCATACGCTATAAGTAAGCCAGTAACATCTCCGACATTCATACCAAACAGTGACAGCAGAGATCAAGGAGAGACACAGTTCAGCGCCTGCACAGAACAACAGAAAATCATGAACTCCGCCAAAGTCTTGTTCCTGATCGCCATCAGTGAGTACATGTACATATCGGAGTTGTTACTTTGTGTATTGCTCAGAATATATTGTGTAGAAGATGGCGTCCGTTGTCTTGCTTATTGTAGTAGAAACCCCCCTTCAGTCATCAACTGAACACAACTTTATCTTGCATTCAATATCATGGTATGTCCTTTATAAAATGGGAATCTGACAATAGGTGACATTCCGCAAACGTTGCATGTATATGTACCGGATCATGGATGATAAGGTTCTAGATCTAAGGAATTCTGTTGTTGCTTATACATTGAAAATGAGTATGTCGCAACAACATAAGCATTTCTCCTGCAGGATAATCCAAAGTGATATTTTAATTTTATTGTATTTTATCACACTTGTCACACTCCATCATTATTACTCAAATCTTTTTCAGGCATCGCATGTTCCTTTGCAAGTAACAAAAGAGGTAAGCATATTTACTCTGCTACATATTTGATCAAGTTAAAACTGAGACGGCATACGTATTTATGTTTTATGTTAGTATAATGAACTGACACGTTTGTCAAACCATTTTTGTGTCACAACTGCAAACTATTATAATTAACTGCTATGAAATTAAGCCAGTAGCTTTGACTACCGTTGACAGAATTTAATTTGGTTCCATTATACAATTAGGATTTTAATAACTTTCTGCTTTCACATGGAAATACTTATCCAATATAGCTGTCAACGGAATCCCTTTTTCCATTGCTTCTATCTCGGTGAAGAAAATCTATGGATTTGAATAAGTGTGTTATTATTGTTATCATTACTAGTCAAACATTCATAATTATGCGTACTTCTATTGAATTTATCTGGAACGGGTTTTTGTACAGCTTTGTAATGATCAAATCCCGACATATTTGGTTACGAGCAACAACCATGATGGTTGTTAACGCTACAGTCAACAATACCCCAACAACACCCCAGATATATGTATATAATGGCGGCATGTTATTAACTGAATCTGACCAGACAAGTTATTGCTTGACACGGGACACAATGAGACGCTATGAGCCAAGTCACTGAACATGAACAAGTCAGTGTTAACAGTCATGCAACAGACGAGTAACATTATTATTATTATTAGAAAGATGACTAGTCAAATACTCGTAATAATGCGTAATTATGGTGAATCTATCTGCAACTGGTTTTAGTGCAGTTTGAATGATCAAATCCAGACACAGGCCATGGTTTGGCTCCCTAATGCCGACCCTAAATCTCCTGAAAGGAATTTTACATGAACGATTAGGTCTATTTAATGTCTGTTACAGGTCGTAGATCAGCATCAACATCAACATCAACATCAACATCAACATCAACATCATCGTCTTCATCTTCGTCTTCTGAAGGTAATTCGTTGTTAACCGATTGCGCATTGCCATCATACGTTATCATTGTTAACACAGAGACGCTGGAAATGATTGGGAGCTGTCAAAGCAAAGCGGGAGGCTCTTGCCCAATGTGATATTGCCAATTGCTCATGTGTTGATGATTGTATAGCAGACACTACATTTTATAGAACATGACTGCATGTGCAAATCAAGGACATCATGTAGTTCAACTGAGTTTGAAGTAAGGGGGAGAACTCATTAAATGAGGAAATGTTGGCGGGATAGTTCTTGTCTATACACATAATGTAATGAATCTCGTTCTCTCTAATTTTCTGAGCCGCGAAAAACGCAAAATTTCGGATGCGGCCTAAAAAATGATTAATCACTCATTCTGTGTTTTATGTCATTTCTTAACTAGGTATGTTACAGATGTAATAGATATGTATCATGAGTAGTAATTTTTATAACAAATAATTGCCAGTTTACATCATGGAATAGTAATTTTATAACAAGTTTTTATACCAGTTTATATCATGTGATAGGAATTGTATAGCATGAATATGTTGTATTACAGGTTCTGGTGACCCTGGGCTACAAGGACTAATTGAAGGCTTCGGTAAGCATGAGCCTCTGGCCTCCGACGTGAATTAAATATTGTTTCATTTGTTTTCAAATTCTACCTCATATATTTTTTTATCACAGCACAGTTTAATGGCATATGAACTCAGACTGAGTGAAGATACCCATAAAATCTTTACATGTACCCTCGTTCGTTCGTATTTTATTTTATGATGCATCAGTTCAATGTTGTTACTTTTTCAGCCCAAGAATGCGTAGGAGGTAAGGTTCCCGACACCTTTCATCATTTAGAATTTTGTTTTTCCAAATCACCAGGGTAGGATACGGCGCCAAGTAACAATAAGATTAACATAAGAATTTTGACAGCTACAAAATTGTTCTCAAATTTGCCGAAAGAAAATGAATCCACTCAAAATGAGTAAACAGCTGTGAATGAAATATAAAACAATTATTTGTAAATCACACCTATTTCCAGTCTTGCTGACCCTTGTAATTAATGTGTTCACAATATAACATAGCTCAATGTTTGGCCCAATGGCCTCATCCACATCTTTCAAAACCGTGGGATCATGTGTCACTCTATATCAAGGACTGTTTCTCTCTTTTTACATAAGATGCCTGTGTCCCCTTGGACGGTGTAGCAGTCGAGGTCGATCCTCCTGTTATCGGTGAGTGTAAAGGTCCTGTTATAAAAGAAACGGAAAATACATCCTATTTTCATATGAAAATCATTGAACATTTGACTCAGATATAAACAAAATGCAACCTACTTTGCTACAAAATCAGTGAAACAATTGTTACAGTTTAATATAGAACACAGAAGAATATTATATAGAACCTTGTAACTGTGATTGCACTTTATTAGTGAACCAAACGTTTTATTTTAAATTACTTAGTTTACGAAATTGCTAACATATAGTTTTACAAATTGAGATAAAAGTAGTTGTTTTAGATAAGCCTTTTATTAATTCCAGTTAGAATGAAAACAAATAAGATTATATGAAGCAATTAAATCCTTTGACTCCTCATTCAATGTCACTTTCAATTTCTTTTGTTTTCATCTCAACGTACAATTCCATTTATATATTACTTAAAAGAAGTCTTACCAGTTGTGACATAGGTATTTGGACCACCACAATAGCCTAAAACCAAGTTCTTGAAAATGGCCTCAGTATAATGTTTTATTATTGTATTGTTTTAGATGCTGGCGAGCCTGCTCAGTAACCTTACTGAATGTTTGAAGCATGGTCCTTTTGACCATTTTGGCCCTTCTGGTGTTACCGGTGAACTATTACACTGTTCAAGAGCGTGACCACGTTTGAGTTGACCACAATGGAGTAGAGATAGCAATGTACGTTCACGTATAGACAGAATGTACATGGCGCTGGTCTGACAGATGGACAAGCGCAAAATAAATGTAAACTGTGATTGGGACAACATGAGTGTGTATCATGGTCCAAGAATAAAGTCGATGTCAAAAATTCTTTGTATGTTGTTGTCTGTTGATAAAAGATTGATTGAGTTAATAAATGGGATTTTCAGTCTGTAGTCAGTACTACCAAGCACCTTCAATATGTACCAGAATATTAATACAATATGTGTGGTATATAATGTATAGAAAATGGAAAACATTTATTTTATTTTCTATATGTTAGAAATGCCATTATGATATAAGATGTTATTGATTAATATGAGCAAGTGCAATCTTTAATATGACTTAATTTAAGTTTAACTTAAATTAAGTGCTGACTTAATTTTAATATTTTAAGTTGCGCATTTCGGCTGTTATTGCCTGGCCCAATTTGCATAAACACCCATCACCATGCACGCTGCCTAACTTTGCTTACATTCCGTCTCAAATAAATTCCAAGTAAGTATTTTGATAATCACAATAGTTATTCCCCTGCTAAATAATGATGTGTTGTGATCTTGTACATAAGTGTTTTGCATTGTCGCAGGATAGTTTAGTGTTTGTTATAAAGTTATACTTTTCTGAACCGCCAAGTCAAGTTTCCTACACCACGTAAGCGGTATTTGTATGTTTACAAGTTGATTGATGATGGCAAACACTGTAAGATACTGCTTCTGTGTTGTTATTGGTGTTAGTAGATATCAGCACAAGTTTACTGCACCATGTAAGACATAAAACTGACCAGCGTACATGTTTTATGACCAGCGTACTGCTGTGTTGCCGTTAAATGAGGCCAACAGCTAAGTATATCGAGTGGATGACACCTCATGTGTGATGTTCAGCTAGCATGATTAGAGTTAAATGTCTGTAGCAAGATGGCATTTACTTTTCGTGACTGAATGTTGATGTATATAATCAAGATAGCATCCTTAAGTCAGTATATCTCTAGTCGTGGTTGTTTTGTCGGGTATTTTATTGAAGCTATAGGCCTAAACTTTCATGTAGATGAATAGTTGCAGCAGAGGTAAAAGGTCAGATGTCACAGAGGTTATGCTCTGTATCAATATTGTGCAAGCCATTTAACTAATATGTAATGTTGATTGCCATTATCTAGCTGCTACTTTGAGAGGAAAGAATTGTCTTTGTTATTTGTGTTATATAGTTTTGCTGTACCAGATGTGTTATAGGTTATGGCTTTATGCTCTATTTCAATATTTAGCAGGCTATTGTAACCAGTAATGCAATGTTTACTGGTATTATCATGATTATGTAGCTGGAACTTTAAATTGTGTTGTCATTTATAATGTATAGTGTAGCTACACCAGAGGTCATGTAGCTTAAGGCACTATGGTCTGTTTCAACTTAATGTAGGACTGCCTAACCATTATGCACTATGACACTATTGTTATGATTGAATCAAGTTGATACTTTCAGATATGGTTTGTTGTGTCAGTATTGTTACTTCAGGGACATAATGGTAGCATCAGTGATACATAAATCAGTTTTATTGTATTTTGAGTATCATTGAGCACTATGTAAGAAGTTATTTGTCAGCAATCAGATACTAAGGCATTATCAAATTGTTTTTGGGTTTTCAGGTTTTCTAGTCAGGGGCAGGCTCAGTGTACTGCCGCCCTTACCTAACCCTGTGATTACCAAACCTTTCTTGTCTTTATTCTACGAATAAACAGACATTCATTGGAAGTGATGTGTGTGTGTTCTAACTGTAAGGTGGACCTGGGTACGTAAAGAATAATTGCAAATTAATATGATTTATTTACATCGGAAGAGATATAGAACAACAAATAGAAGCTGCTGACTCAATGCACTCAGCATTATTCGAGCTATATGACGGCGAGAAGAATCGTATCTGGACCAGACAAACCAGTCATCGATATTGTGAGCAACAGTCCAAGCCGTCAAGTTAAGAGGACACGCCATCAAACAAGATACCGAATGATCCATTTGGTCGCATTATACGACCAGCATAGGTTGCTGGGGACCAATTCCTACCCGAGTTGTGTAATCGTGAAGTATGTCATAAAGAGCACTCTTTTGTCTTATCCCGCATGCTGGGAAGACTCGGTGGTTTTCCCATTTGCAGTGGTATGAAAGTAATTACCAAGCGCTGCTTATCCGACAACAAGGCATAAATTATCAATGAAATGGAAAGTCAGCAATATGATGGCTTTTCTCTGCTTTTGTCGAGTCTGGACCAGCATAAGATGCCAATAATTCGGATGTATTTGTTTAAAAAGGGAAGGTTTTCCTGGCGTAATGTAAAATAGCGTTACCAGTCGTATTTTGGTATTTTGGGAAATATCAACATCATTCTCTTAATCGGTACAAGCCAAAAGCGAAAGGAAAACTTAGTTGTTTTGCATGATATTAAAGCGAGAGCCCACCTACCTGAGGGAGATGGGCAATGTTGAATGTATAAGACACAACAATCGATTTAATGGAGGTTCTAAAGGGCTACCAAAAATAGAAAAGAGATAATACTATTAAAGGCCCAAATGTCAGAACAAGGCCAAACCAAATTTAGCTATGTGCCGACTTGCGTTGCCAAACATAATTGCTACTAGACAATTTATTAATGCCCAATAAACAGAAACGCTGTGGGTCTAAATGGGAGCGAACGCTGCCAGCTATGTGGCAAATTGCGTTGCCAAATTTCTAGTTTCTATTTTACCGAATGAAAACAGAGGAAAGACTGGGTTCCAACTGGTAAGACGGTAACCCAGTCTGGGTTCCCGCTGGAAGGCAGGTAACGGGAAACCCTATTTAGTATATAGATTAGTGTATATTATGATATAGGAGGTAGCCCAGAAGAACCGTGCTACTCCACGACATGTTTCATTCACATTGATAACATATGTACAATATTCTGGATTGATAGATATGAACAAATTGTTGTGCCTGGTACCTGTAATGGACAATATAAGGAGATGGATGGAGGCAAACAGTGCGGGTGGATGGGATAATGCGATAATGCGATGTGAGACGCAATGAAAGGCTGTGAAAAGTTGATGAGTAGAGACAGTGACGTCATTCAAGAAGCAGTGATGACGTGACCACGAGATGGTTACGTAACTTCCGAGGAGACGAGCGTGCAATTGCGCAACAGTAGTAGGTTTGTTTGTATGTTTGTTTGTTGTTTTACGCCGCACTCAGCAATATTCAAGCTATATGACGGCGGTCTGTAAATAATGGAATCTTGACCATGCAATCCATTGATTGACATGAAGTCACAATCGGTGATGACGTCACGAGCTATCAGTGATGACGTCATATGTATACTGCGAGCTTCTCAACACGGCTCTCTTTAGAAGACACCGCTATTTCAATTCAGCTGTTTTCAATCGCATAAAATGAAGAGAGTATTACGTTCACGTGTGTTCATTTTTATCATAATAACCTAATAGAATTATCGCTCGGTGGACCCAGTCATGATAATTACTCGTTCCGTACAATTCATGTTATAAGCAAATGTTTCTGGGTCTTATTTACAACAAATTTCATTGGAACATCATCTTTAATACAAGACTATAACGCAAACAGAAACACATATAACCAATATATTTTTATTATAGTTCATTTAAATTACATTCCTATTTGATTAATATCTCAAACGATGAGTATCCACAACTTGATATATTTGTTTATATCACCGCTTCGAAATACGCATTTTTTCTGGGAAAGAGTGATCGGAATTTTTTTTAAAAATACTATTATTTTTTTCTATTTTTTTCTTGAACAAGTTATTGTTTTAAAAAGCACCCCGAGAAGGTCGTTATAGCTATATCAGGATCGCAGAAATCATGACCATAAACCTGTCAAAACTATGCCCTTGCTTGTTGCTTTCCTTGCACATTAAGCTTACGTGTCATGTCAAAGTTAACAAAAATTCTTGTCAAAGCCGAGTGCATCTCACTCACTCACTCTCTATAGATTCTCTTTACAACATTTTGTTTACGCTGATATTCACAGAGATAGCCGACTCACAATAGAGATTATTTATGGCATTAATAATAACACACAGACAGCAGTTTCTATATGCTGAGCCATCAACCCTGGCTTCAGAAAAAATAGATGTGAACTTTGCCCTATATGTAGATCGAACATGTGGCATTTGAACCAATTGGTGTCATATTCATCAATCTCCTGGAGATGAATGCTGTTATATTATATTAAATACGTTACCCGTGTCTTTCACCTGCAGAGAACCTTTAACTCTATCGTTTTCTTATATTCGTACAATGACCTTAAATTTTGCATATCGTGGGTTGAAAATCCCAGATTTTATAATTACAAATACAATGTACAAGCGAAAACAACTTTTCAACAATGGTAATGATACTATCAGGTGTTCGTGAAAAGACCCACTGTTGGCAACCGTTACAAACAAATGCAAGGGCTAACCAATTGTTAGCCTGACAGTACACGGGGCCAGTGGGTCAAGTCCAAATAGGGAATTGTTTCGGATTTTATTTTTGTCACCGATGAGTGAAGTTTGATTAAACTGCTACTGAGCAAGAGTCGTTTGACGTTCTCCGTAGAAAGAGCATGCTCAACTGTCCAATCAACAGTAGTTAAATATATGACTAAAGACCGAAGCTGCTGGAATATTGCTCGGCATGAACGGAAAGTGAACTATAGGAATGTTGAAGTCGTCCATCTTTTCATTCAGTCCTGTGAAGAGTGTATATGTCATTATCATGCTGACTTCTTACCTACATATAATATCCCCTGATTTCACATAGAGATTAAATGTTTCAAATGTGAAACGCTCCTTCATTGTAAGTGAATAAAATATAATGAAACTACATACTTCAAAATATCAGTATACATTTATATGACACAATTACGCTAAAGCTATGTTTCGAATCTAATCATTCCTTCGGACACAATTATCAAATGTAATTTGTGAATTTAAGGAGTTTTCAGGGGAAAACTATCAATCAATACGTTCAACTCAACTTCAAAGTTAACTCGACAAGATGAAAAATGAAACTTTTGGTTTGATATATTACTCCTTATGTCACAGTACATCCTATATCAACAATAATATTTGTAGAGAACAATCATATTTCACCTCCTTTGTATTGTTTAATCTTTTCTCAAACATTTGCTCGCATTGGATATAAATGAATGCATCGATACACGTCCATCACGTAATGAAGCCGTCTTGAGAATTAAAATGAAGTATAATGCATATGGGTACATGCATAATTCGATATTGTTCAAAATGAACATGAAACTGAGATGTTTAACTGTATTTGTACACTATCTCACATCGTAAAATGACAATCACTGCCTGACAGTGACAGATATGGCATAACAGACAAATATGTTCACACCATTACAGGCAAACAATGACCATTGGTCTTCAAATACTTAACATCTCATAATGTATGTAGCATACGCTATAAGTAAGCCAGTAACATCTCCGACATTCATACCAAACAGTGACAGCAGAGATCAAGGAGAGACACAGTTCAGCGCCTGCACAGAACAACAGAAAATCATGAACTCCGCCAAAGTCTTGTTCCTGATCGCCATCAGTGAGTACATGTACATATCGGAGTTGTTACTTTGTGTATTGCTCAGAATATATTGTGTAGAAGATGGCGTCCGTTGTCTTGCTTATTGTAGTAGAAACCCCCCTTCAGTCATCAACTGAACACAACTTTATCTTGCATTCAATATCATGGTATATCCTTTATAAAATGGGAATCTGACAATAGGTGACATTCCGCAAACGTTGCATGTATGTACCGGATCATGGATGATAAGGCTCTAGATCTAAGGAATTCTGTTGTTGCTTATACATTGAAAATGAGTATGTCGCAACAACATAAGCATTTCTCCTGCAGGATAATCCAACGTGATATTTTACTTTAATTGTGTTTTATCACACTTGTCACACTCCATCATTATTACTCAAATCTTTTTCAGGCATCGCATGTTCCTTTGCAAGTAACAAAAGAGGTAAGCATATTTACTCTGCTACATATTTGATCAAGTTAAAACTGAGACGGCATACGTATTCATGTTTTATGTTAGTATAATGAACTGACACGTTTGTCAAACCATTTTTGTGTCACAACTGCAAACTATTATAATTAACTGCTATGAAATTAAGCCAGTAGCTTTGACTACCGTTGACAGAATTTATTTTGGTTCCATAATACAATTAGGATTTTAATAACTTTCTGCTTTCACATGGAAATACTTATCCAATATAGCTGTCATGGAATCCCTTTTTCCATTGCTTCTATCTCGGTGAAGAAAATCTATGGATTTGAATAAGTGTGTTATTATTGTTATCATTACTAGTCAAACATTCATAATTATGCGTACTTATATTGAATTTATCTGGAACGGGTTTTTGTACATCTTTGTAATGATCAAATCCCGACATATTTGGTTACGAGCAACAACCATGATGGTTGTTAACGCTACAGTCAACAATACCCCAATAATACCCCAGATATATGTTATAATGGCGGCATGTTAATAACTGAATCTGACCAGACAAGTTATTGCTTGACACGGGACACAATGAGACGCTATGAGCCAAGTCACTGAACATGAACAAGTCAGTGTTAACAGTCATGCAACAGACGAGTAACATTATTATTATTATTAGAAAGATGACTAGTCAAATACTCGTAATAATGCGTAATTATGGTGAATCTATCTGCAACTGGTTTTAGTGCAGTTTGAATGATCAAATCCAGACACAGGCCATGGTTTGGATCCCTAATGCTGATCCTAAATCTCCTGAAAGGAATTTTACATGAACGATTAGGTCTATTTAATGTCTGTTACAGGTCGTAGATCAGCATCAACATCAACATCAACATCAACATCATCGTCTTCATCTTCGTCTTCTGAAGGTAATTCGTTGTTAACCGATTGCGCATTGCCATCATACGTTATCATTGTTAACACAGAGACGCTGGAAATGATTGGGAGCTGTCAAAGCAAAGCGGGAGGCTCTTGCCCAATGTGATATTGCCAATTGCTCATGTGTTGATGATTGTACAGCAGACACTACATTTTAAAGAACATGACTGCATGTGCAAATCAAGGACATCATGTAGTTCAACTGAGTTTGAAGTAAGGGGGAGAACTCATTAAATGAGGAAATGTTGGCGGGATAGTTCTTGTCTATACACATAATGCAATGAATCTCGTTCTCTCTATTTTTCTGAGCCGCGAAAAACGCAAAATTTCGGATGCGGCCTAAAACCATGATTAATCAGTCATTCTGTGTTTTATGTCATTTCCTAACTAGGGATGTTACAGATGTAATAGATATGTATCATGGAATAGTAATTTTATAACAAGTAATTGCCAGTTTACATCATGGAATTGTTATTTTATAACAAGTTTTTATGCCAGTTTATATCATGTGATAGGAATTGTATAGCATGAATATGTTGTATTACAGGTTCTGGTGACCCTGGGCTACAAGGACTAATTGAAGGCTTCGGTAAGCATGAGTCTCTGGCCTCCGACGTGAATTAAATATTGTTTCATTTGTTTTCAAATTCTACCTCATATATTTTTTATCACAGCACAGTTTAATGGCACATGAACTCAGACTGAGTGAAGATACCCATAAAATCTTTACATGTGCCCTCGTTCGTTCGTATTTTATTTTACGATGCCTCAGTTCAATGTTGTTATTTTTTCAGCCCAAGAATGCGTAGGAGGTAAGGTTCCCGACACCTTTCATCAATTAGAACTTTGTTTTTCCAAATTACCAGGGTAGGATACGGCGCTAAGTAACAATAAGATTAACAGAAGATTTTGGACAGCTACAAAATTGTTCTCAAATTTGCCGAAAGAAAATGAATCCACTCAAAATGAGTAAACAGCTGTGAATGAAATATAAAACAATTATTTGTAAATCACACCTATTTCCAGTCTTGTTGACCCTTGTAATTAATGTGTTCACAATATAACATAGCTCAACTCACACTTAGAAGGCACACATAATGTTTGGCCCAATGGCCTCATCCACATCTTTGAAAACCGTGGGATCATGTGTCACTCTATATCAAGGACTGTTTCTCTCTTTTTACATAAGATGCCTGTGTCCCCTTGGACGGTGTAGCAGTCGAGGTCGATCCTCCTGTTATCGGTGAGTGTAAAGGTCCTGTTATAAAAGAAACGGAAAATACATCCTATTTTAATATGAAAATCATTGAACATTTGACTCAGATATAAACAAACTGCAACCTACCTTGCTACAAAATCAGTAAAACAATTGTTACAGTTTAATATAGAACACAGGAGAATATCATATAGAACCTTGTAACTGTGATTGCACTTTATTAGTGAACCAAACGTTTTATTTTAAATTACTTAGTTTACGAAATTGCTAACATATAGTTTTACAAATTGAGATAAAAGTAGATGTTTTAGATAAGCCTTTTATTATTTCCAGTTAGAATGAAAACAAATAAGATTATATGAAGCAATTAAATCCTTTGACTCCTCATTAAATGTCACTTTCAATTTCTTTTGTTTTCATCTCAACGTACAATTCCATTTATATATTACTTAAAAGAAGTCTTACCAGTTGTGACATAGGTATTTGGACCACCACAATAGCCTAAAACCAAGTTGTTAAAAATGGTCTCAGTATAATGTTTTATCATTGTATTGTTTTAGATGCTGGCGAGCCTGCTCAGTAACCTTACTGAATGTTTGAAGCATGGTCCTTTTGAACACCCGGTACTCCAGTCTGGTGTTACCGGTGAACTATTACACTGTTCAAGAGCGTGACCACGTTTGAGTTGACCACAATGGAGTAGAGATAGTAATGTACGTTCACGTATAGACAGAATGTACATGGCGCTGGTCTGACAGATGGACAAGCGCAAAATAAATGTAAACTGTGATAGGGACAACATGAGTGTGTATCATGGTCCAAGAATAAAGTCGATGTCAAAAAATCTTTGTATGTTGTTGTCTGTTGATAAAAGATTGAATGAGTTAATAAATGGGATTTTCAGTCTGTAGTCAGTACTACCAAGCACCTTCAATATGTACCAGAATATTAATACAATATGTGTGATATATAATGTATAGAAAATTGAAAACATTTATTTTGTTTTCTACATAGTGAAAGAAATGCCATTATGATATAAGATGTTATTGATTAATATGAGCAAGTGCAATCTTTAATATGACTTAATTTAAGTTTAACTTAAATTAAGTGCTGACTTAATTTTAATATTTTAAGTTGCGCATTTCGGCTGTTATTGCCTGGCCCAATTTGCATAAACACCCATCACCATGCACGCTGCCTAACTTTGCTTACATTCCGTCTCAAATAAATTCCAAGTAAGTATTTTGATAATCACAATAGTTATTCCCCTGCTAAATAATGCTGTGTTGTGATCTTGTACATAGGTGTTTTGCATTGTCGCAGGATAGTTTAGTGTTTGTTATAAAGTTATACTTTTCTGAACCGCCAAGTCAAGTTTCCTAAACTACGTAAGCGGTATTTCTATGTTTACAAGTTGATTGATAATGGCAAACACTGTAAGATACTGCTTCTGTGTTGTTATTGGTGTAAGTAGATATCAGCACAAGTTAACTGCACCATGTAAGACATAAAACTGACCAGCGTACATGTTTTATGACCAGCGTACTGCTGTGTTGCCGTTAAATGAGGCCAACAGCTAAGTATATCGAGTGGATGACACCTCATGCGTGATGTTCAGCTAGCATGATTAGAGTTAAATGTCTGTAGCAAGATGGCATTTACTTTTCGTGACTGAATGTTGATATATATAATCAAGATAGCATCCTTAAGTCAGTATATCTCTAGTCGTGGTTGTTTTGTCGGGTATTCTATTGAAGCTATAGGCCTAAAGTTTCAGGTAGAGGAATAGTAGCAGCAGAGGTAAAAGGTCAGATGTCACAGAGGTTATGCTCTGTATCAATATTGTGCAAGCCATTTAACTAATATTTAATGTTGATTGCCATTATTTAGCTGCGACTTTGAGAGGAAAGAATTGTCTTTGGTATTTGTGTTATATAGTTTTGCTGTACCAGATGTGTTATAGGTTATGGCTTTATGCTCTATTTCAATATTTAGCAGGCTATTGTAACCAGTAATGTAATGTTTACTGGTATTATCATGATTATACAGCTGGAACTTTAAATTGTGTTGTCATTAATAATGTATAGTGTAGCTACACCAGAGGTCATGTGGCCTAAGGCACTATGGTCTGTTTCAACTTAATGTAGGACTGCCTAACCATTATACACTATTACAGTATTGTTATGATTGAATCAAGTTGATACTTTCAGATATGGTTTGTTGTGTCAGTATTGTTACTTCAGGGAAATAACGGTAGCATCAGTGATACATATATCAGTATTATTGTATTTTGAGTATCATAGGGCACTATGTCAGAATTTATTTGTCAGCAATCAGATGATAAGGCATCATCGAATTGTTTTTGTGTTGTCAGGTTTTCTAGTCAGGGGCAGGCTCAGTGTACTGCCGCCACTACCTAACCCTATGATTACCCAACCTTTCTTGTCTTTATTCTACGAATAAACAGACATTAATTGGAAGTGATGTGTGTGTGTTCTAACTATAAGGTGGACCTGGGTACGTTAAGAATAATTGTAAATAAATAGGTTTTATTTACATCGGAAGAGATATAGAACAACAAATAGAAGCTGCTGACCCAATGCACTCAGCATTATTCGAGCTACATGACGGCGACAAGAATCGTATCTGGACCAGACAATCCAGTCATCGATATTGTGAGCAACAGTCCAAGCCGTCAAGTTAAGAGGACACGCCATCAAACAAGCTACCGAATGATCCATTTGGTCGCCTTATACGACCAGCATAGGTTGCTTGGGACCAATTCCTACCCGAGTTGTGTAATCGTGAAGTATGTCATAAAGAGCACTCTTTTGTCTTATCCCGCATGCTGGGAAAACTCGGTGGTTTTTCCATTTGCAGTGGTATGAAAGTAATTACCAAGCGCTGCTTATCCGACAACAAGGCATAAATTATTAATGAAATGGAAAGTCAGCAATATGGTGGCTTTTCTCTGCTTTTGTCGAGTCTGGACCAGCATAAGATGCCAATAATTCGGATGTATTTGTTTAAAAATGGAAGATTTTCCTGGCGTAATGTAAAATAGCGTTACCAGTCGTATTTTGGTATTTTGGGAAATATCAACATCATTCTCTTAATCGGTACAAGCCAAAAGCGAAAGGAAAACTTAGTTGTTTTGCATGATATTAAAGCGAGAGCCCACCTACCTGAGGGAGATGGGCAATGTTGAATGTATAAGACACAACCGTCGATTTAATGGAGGTTCTAAAGGGCTACCAAAAATTAGAAAAGATATAATACTATTAAAGGCCCAAATGTCAGAACAAGGCCAAACCAAATTTAGGTATGTGCGGACTTGCGTTGCCAAACATAATTGCTACTAGACAATTTATTATTGCCCAATAAACAGAAACGCTGTGGGTCTAAATGGGAGCGAACGCCGCCAGCTATGTGGCAAATTGCGTTGCCAAATTTCTAGTTTCTATTTTACCGAATGAAAAGAGGGGAAAGACTGGGTTACAACTGGTAAGACGGTAACCCAGCCTGGGTTCCCGCTGGAAGGCAGGTAACCGGAAACCCTATTTAGTATATATATTAGTGTATATTCTGATATAGGAGGTAGCCCAGAAGAACCGTGCTACTCCACGACATGTTTTATTCACATTGATGAGATATGTACAATATTCTGGAGTGATAGATATGAACAAATTGTTGTGCCTGGTACCTGTAATGGACAATATAAGGTGATGTATAATTGAATTGAGATGGATGGAGGCAAACAAGGCGGGTGGATGGGATAATGCGATAATGCGATGTGAGACTTCCGAGGAGACGAGCGTGCAATTGAGCAACAGTAGTAGGTTTGTTTGTATGTTTGTTTGTTGTTTTACGCCGCACTCAGCAATATTCCAGCTATATGACGGCGGTCTGTAAATAATGGAGTCTTGACCATGCAATCCATTGATTGACATGAAGTCACAATCGGTGATGACGTCACGAGCTATCAGTGATGACGTCATAAGTATACTGCGAGCTTCTCAACACGGTTCTCTTTAGAAGACGCCGCTATTTCATTTCAGCTGTTTTCAATCGCATAAAATGAAGAGAGTATTACGTTCACGTGTGTTCATTTTTATCATAATAACCTAATAGAATTATCGCTCGGTGGACCCAATCATGATAATTACTCGTTCCGTACAATTCATGTTATAAGCAAATGTTTCTGGGTCTTACAACAAATTTCATTGGAACATCATCTTTAATACAAGACTATAACGCAAACAGAAACACATATAACCAATATAATTTTATTATAGTTCATTTAAATTACATTCCTATTTGATTAATATCTCAAACGATGAGTATCCACAACTTAATATATTTGTTTATATCACCGCTTCGAAACACGCATTTTTTCTGGGAAAGAGGGATCGGATTTTCTTTTAAAAATACTATTATTTTTTTCTTGAACAAGTTATTGTTTCAAAAAGCACCCCGAGAAGGTCGTTATAGCTATATCAGGATCGCAGAAATCATGACCATTAACCTGTCAAAACTATGCCCTTGCTTGTTGCTTTCCTTGCACATTAAGCTTACGTATCATGTCAAAGTTAACAAAAATTCTTGTCAAAGCCGCGTGCATCTCACTCACTCACCCTCTCTAGATACTCTTTACAACATTTTGTCTAGCTGATATTCACAGAGATAGCCGACTCACAATAGAGATTATTTATGGCATTAATAATAACACAGAGACAGCAGTTTCTATATGCTGAGCCATCAACCCTGGCTTCAGAAAAAATAGATGTGAACTTTGCCCTATATGTAGATCGAACATGTGGCATTTGAACCAATTGGTGTCATCTTCATCAATCTCTTGGAGATGAATGCTGTAATATTATATTAAATACGTTACCCGTGCCTTTCACCTGCAGAGAACCTTTAACTCTATCGTTTTCTTATATTCGTACAATGACCTTTGGTTTTGCATATCGTGGGTTGAAAATCCCAGACGTTATAGCTACAAATACAATGTACAAGCGAAAACAACTTTTCCACAATGGTAAGAAATATGTCCATTGTACGATACCGACTATATCATAAACACGTGTTTATAGATCGCTCTCAAAGTAATGATACTATCAGGTGTTCGTGAAAAGACCCACTGTTGGCAACCGTTACAAACAAATGCAAGGGCTAACCAATTGTTAGCCTGACAGTACACGGGGCCAGTGGGTCAAGTCCAAATAGGGAATTGTTTCGGATTTTATTTTTGTCACCGATGAGTGAAGTTTGATTAAACAGCTACTGAGCAAGAGTCGTTTGACGTTCTCCGTAGAAAGAGCATGCTCAACTGTCCAATCAACAGTAGTTAAATATATGACTAAAGACCGAAGCTGCTGGAATATTGCTCGGCATGAACGGAAAGTTAACTTTAGGAATGTTGAAGACTTCTTGCCTACATATATTATCCCCTGATTTCACATAGAGATTAAATGTTTAAAATGTGAAATGCTCCTTCATTGTAAGTGAATAAAATATAATGAAACTACATACTTCAAAATATCAGTATACATTTATATGACACAATTCCGCTAAAGCTATGTTTCGAATCTAATCATTCCTTCGGACACAATTATCAAATGTAATTTGTGAATTTAAGGAGTTTTCAGGGGAAATCTATCAATCAATACGTTCAACTCAACTTCAAAGTTAACTCGACAAGAAGAAAAAAATGAAACTTTCGTTGAATATCCTCTTAACTTCATTTTAGAAAATGTATATACCAAATAACATTAATGTTGCATATTGGTTTGATATATTACTCCTTAT